CGATCCCAATACGAAGTTCGCGAACATCAGGGATATCCATCGGGCTCAAATCGAAGCGGGTGAAAAGGAGGTTATCACGGCTGAATCCAGCGACTCTGAATGCCCTAGTGAGGCTGGCAGCTGTATTGTAGTGGGTGTGGTTGAGGATCAATAGTTAATAGTAATGAGGAGGTTGGGTTGTGATCCCATCGTTTTTGTGGTGCCAGAAACAGGGGGGTGCCAGGAAGTGGGTATGTTGACTTACCTCTCAGAGTTGTCACTGCTGATCGCATTGTCTTGCATACCGTGGTAATGCAGGATTCTGACTCCACGGTCCTTGGCAGCGGATAAGTCTCCTTCCCACGTCGACACCTTCCACGGGTCTTGCTTAGAAGCAACAGCGTAATCCTGCGGGGTCATTGTAGAAAGGTTCCAGTTTGTATCGTTGTATACAACATAGCGCCACCAGTCCAGGGGGTACTGATGGGGCTGGCCGTTGAGAAGTCGCGCAGTCGCGTTAGAACCTGGCTGTAGTCTGGGGAAGATGTACTGCCCATCCAATCCGTAGACTGGAGAGAAGACGGCCCGCACAGTAGCGGCTTGCTCTCCGCTCAGACAGCTATCAGAAGAGCCGTTGGCGCAAATGAGTCCTTCAGGTCGGTATTGGCACAAGCTCGGGTCTTCGAGGATGCCGTCTTCAAGACCGTCTAATCCGTCACACTGCTTCAGTATATCGGCATACACCAGCTCCCACTCCGCGGGAGAGAGGAACCGCGAAGTCTCATTGGTCCCCGTCTTGAGGAAAAGTTGGCCAGTCCAGTACATGAGTGCAATCAGATCGAAAGCTGGAGCACCGGCAACGATACCGTCGTAGTCTTCCGGAAAGCTCTGGGCCTCCTTAAACCCCTGTCTACCGCCTGTGGAGCAGCCCAGGTAGTATGACTTGGTGTGCTCTTTGCCGTAGTATTGCTGAACAATCTCTTTGCCCAACTGAGCTTCAAGATGCACGGCGCGGTAGACGTAATCCTCAATCACTCCGGGGTTGTTGAGGAACGGGGCACCAGACGTTCCGTCGTGGCCGTTGTTGGTGCCAATTGTGGCAAATTGGTGTGTGGCCCCGTAGTTGAGGTCGCCGTATTTAATGCATCCATTCATACCGCCGTTGCCAGTGCCCAAGAAACGCCCACTCCATTCTGATGGAAGCCAAGCCTCAAGGGAGATATTGCTTGTCGGACCGGTAGTAGTGACAAAGACTACCCGACAGATATCAACGCTGGAAATTTGGAAGGGGATGGCGCACGACGGGTGGTTATCAGGGAGCGAAATGTTCGTCCCTGCTGTGATGAATGCTGTCTCATGGATTGTCGTATTGGGAAGACTAAGACGGCTCGCTAACGATGCGCAGTCCTCGGGAGTGACAGCTCGGGCTGACCCAACCGCCAACAGGAGTTGAAACACTGAAGAGCGAGAACCTCTCATGATTACGATTACTGATCCAACAATGTCTACACTTGGCACATAGAGGGTAACTCCAAGGGTTATTTATTGCCATCTACTTCGTATGCCTCAAAGAGTGCTACTCACTCATAACGCTCTGCGTAACTACCGTGAACTGCTACCGCGCTTATCCGCAGTCCTCAAGGGAATCCGCTCTCGGGCTTGTAGCCAGTCTCCTGGGTCCAAATCCCCGCAGACGGATAAAGGTCGGTTGGCAGTCACGGCTTTGTAGTCTCTGCAGAACCGCTAGATTGACGTACGATGGGGACAACGGAGCAATAGAGTCGATCACCTGCCGTACCAGGCTAAGGATAGTCTGGGGTAGCTGGGCAGCTGGTGGGGAAGAGTTGCTTCTTCAGAGGGGCTGTTGCCGCTTGTTCGAATTAGAGACGCGGGGTAACCAGCCTTTTCCCTGCAAAACGACAGCCGTATTCTTGCCTTCTAGTCAGTATGTCGGCGTAATCGACCGGTTACTGACTCTTTCCGGTGATCAAATGCCCCTTACTACAGATTTCATGATGTCTTGCGTGCTCCGGTAAGCCTCGGGCAGTGTGAACCTCTCAACCCTGTCCCGCTCTGCTGTCGATTCCACGGAAGACTTACGGACCCCCGTCCGCAGACTAAAGTTGAGTACGATCGTGCCGACACAAACACTTTGGGAATCAAGCACCCCGAGTTGCTTTTCGGCAACCCAGCACTGACCGTGACTTTGCACCTGTTGAAGACTTGCTTAACAATTGCCTATCGATAGCAGCGTCGAGAAAATGTTTGAGCCTAGCTTGTGTTGCTATTCTGTTCAGTTCAACATTCCAATCCGCCTTGTTCCCCGTTCCTTGCAAGACCTCTTCAAACTTCTCCTCGTGCCTTGCCAGGTAGATCCCTCCAGCTTCCTCTTCGAGTTCCCAATTTTCCTTTGAGAATCTACATCACCGTCATCTTCAGAGGAAGCAGACTCGTCGTCACCCTTATAATCACCATCTCTGCAGTCATCATCAGTCGGGTAATCAGTGTGGTAGTCCGCCTCGTCAGCATTGGTGTTCCCCTCGGTAGCATTCACCAAGAACTCCACTTTCCTCCAAGGCGTTTCCGGAGCTGTGCAATTCTGACACCTGAAGTCCGGCTGGTTCTCTCTCAGATATGTTTTATCGCAAGCAGGTCGCGGAACCCGCGCGTTGACGTATTTGCATTTCGTGAGCTTGCGGTCGAAAGTGAAGCCGCAGCTGGAGCATTCGTTGTCGTACCAAACGAAATGACACATGATGGGTGACTAGAACGATGCGTTCAGGTAGTCGGGAGATGCTCTGAAACGTCCTGGCTGATTGGTAATGGAACTGAGTCTTGAAACTGAATTTTGGGACTTGTTGCTGGCTACTGCAAGGTGGTGTGTAGAGAATTGGTAAACGAAGCATCAAGTGCGACCACTCGCATATAAACTCCTTGACCTGTTCTCCTTACTGGGAAATTACACTGAATCGCATCCATTTGTTTCACTCAAGGTGAATGACGAGCTCCATTCAAGGTCGGTGGCTTAGATTCTTTGACGTGATTATGCCTTCTTTCATCCCAAAGGAGCCTAACAGTTCGCTAGAGCCTAACTCCCATTCACTCTCCTCATCGGGGAGAAAGCCACCAACTGCGCCGGTATAAATAGCATCTCTTTGTTCAACCTTCGACCGCCTCGGACCTTTGATCATCAAGCAGAGTTTCAAAGACTAAGACAACAACAATTAATTGCTTCGCACCTCTCAGTCCTGAGAATCCGAGGGTGTAAAGAACCTCAACGAATACAACGGCTCTCTCAAAAAAACTTTCCTAGAAGATATATATCTAACTACTAATTTAGCTAGAGAGAAGAATACGCTTCCAGCCAAAGGTTCATCTGTAACCAACAACCATGTGTCGCCAATTCCAGCACAACCTCCTCTGCACCAACTGCGGCCTCGCCTACAGAACCATCCTTGGCGAATTCCAGCAATGCCGATGGTATCACCGTCATCGCTGTGAAACGACGACGATTAGTGCCGGTCCCATAAGAACTGGCCTATGCCATCTTTGTATGCCTCTGGTACGTCAAAGGCATTATCCTCGATGTCAAGATGTTTGCTGCTCTGGGCGCGAAAGGAGACGTGGGCTGAGGTAGATAAAGTATCTTGCTATACAAGGGGAATAAAAACCTGAACTCTCAATGTCGTGTTTTCATCAGTCATAATTCCGTTTCAATCTCGTGAGTCGTCGACAACAGACCGACAAACACTCCACGCATCCTTTCATCTTCTTTTTCTCCCCAACATTTCCTCGGCGCTACAGGAATATTCATCAATCACAACACCCGAATCATCATCATCATAAACCTCTCGTTGCGGGTACAACCACCCAACGTCACTGAGAATCTGCTCCAGCCTCGTCGCCTGCTCGTCTTTATACGCCACTCTTCTGCCTGACTCAAGCAAGTAATTCAGCTCGTCCCGCAACCTGTAGGGCGACGTCTCGATATCCCAAACCCATTCTTCAAAGTCTCGCCTCGGTTCTGTGAACAATGGCTCCCAAGGCTGTATCCGCTTGTAGACCGCAGGGGCTAGCGGCAGGTAAGGACTCCAAGCCCGACGTCGGAATTCCAGGTACCCGAAAGCATGGAGTACAGCGAGCGAAAGAGTTGTGTCTTCCGAGCCTGGATCGACTTGGAAATGCGAGATGAGAGCTTCCTCTACTGGGCGAGGACAATCTGCGACGATGAAATCGTTCTCCAACAGGTCCATGATCTGATTAACTGGCTCAGAGTTGAGGTCAATAATGCTGCGGTCTTTGATGACGGGGACATCAACCAACTCGTGCTGTCTCCTCGCCTCGTCGACGCACTTCATGCCAACCCTGAGACCACAAAGCCGGCAAAACGAAACTTGTTCCTGCTCGTCTTCGTCGCAGAGATCGCAGTTGGCCATGCAGAACACCGTCTCGAGGCACTTTCCGTCCTCTCTTGTGACCCATACATCGACTATCAAAGCCTGGAACAAACGAATGGCTTCCTCGTCATATTCCCGTCTCTCGAGGAGAATGATGGCGATGTCTCGCATGAGATGCTTATGCTGGGCAAATGTCCGAGTTTCGACGGCTGTCAGTTCCGCGATGTAGCGCTTCAAGTAAACGTCAATGACTTTTATCGCCTCGCTGCTCAGACCCTTGTGCGGCATATCGATCGCCATGTCCAGAGGCGTATGCATATCGCTGTCCTTAACATTAAGCATCCGTTGAAAATGGTCGACGCCAGTCTCGGCTTTCAACTTCTCGCACGCAGAGTACACTAGCGTGGCCATTTCGGAAGCTTGTTGATGGTGATATGATCCGTCAATATGCAGCACATTGTCGCCGTAATAGTCAACGTTCTCGATAAAGGACGCTAGCTGAGGATGTTCGAGCAGCACCTCAACCACCTTGACACACTCGTACAAGGAGGCGACCCGCAGCGCCGACCTCCATGTAGTGGAAGTGTCTCCGGGCCACTTCTGCCCCTTTGCCGGATCCGCGCCCTTGTCGAGCAAAAGCCGGACAGTCGGGATATCTCCGGCCCTGCAAGCCTCTCCGAGTACCGTGAAGCCGGTTGAGCTGACGACATCATCAATGCCGAGGCCATGCTGAAGCAACAGATCAATGATCTTGTAAGCCGCGCCGTTGTCCTCGGAAACTGTGCTACAGACACATGATGCTCCCATTGAGCATCGTGCTGTGATGTCGGCGCCTTTTTCTAGAAGAAACTGGACCAGTTGGAGGTTTCCATCTTCGCAGGCTACCATAAGCGGAGTTTTGCCGTCGTAAGAGGGGAGTTCCAGTGCCTCTGGCGACATTTTGTAGAGCAATTGCGCAATTTCTAGCCTTCCTGATTCGCAGGCTAACCAAAGCGGTGTTTCCTGCCAATGGCATGAGGCCAGGTTGGATTGAGCACCCGCATCGAGGAGACATCGCAGAATCTCAATGTGTCCGTCTCTGGCAGCGATATGGAGAGGCGTCTCGTAGACTAGTCCTTCTTCGCACTGGTAGGTCACCAGGGCTGGCTCGTGTTCGATAAGAACTTTGGCAGTCTCAATGTTGTTTTCTTCCACAGCCCGATGGAGGGGAGTGGTGAAGCACCCGGGGATGTAGGACAAGAAACGTTTCGTGTCAGCACCGTGGGCGAGAAGCAACCGCGTGACCTCCGGCTTCATATCGCTCGCCTCGATGAGGATATGCTGGAAGTCTGGGTTGTCCGGGACGTAATTGATGCTTGGTGGCAAAGGGTTCTCGAGTAAAACTTTGATCATACCCATAGCAATGTCTTCGTCGTCAAGCATGGCGGCGTCGAGGGGGCCTGGCATTCCGTAGGCCTCCTCTAGGGTCGGGTCCGCCCCGTGCCGCAGGAGGAGTTCTACCATGTTTTGGTCCTTGTAGTCTACAGCCACCATTAACGGGGACTTGGCGTACTTCTTCGACTTCCAATTCAACGTGTTGATGGGCGATTGATAGGCGAGGAGCAGCTCGACTATGTCGGTGTTGCCCGTGCTGATATCAACCTCGCTTTCCTCCACACTAGAATTTCCCCAGTTAGCTTGCTGTTGGAGGAATGATATAGGTTTAACAAGAAAGCAATGTGCGAGCCATCGAGAGGGATCAGAAACCAACGTGCCTTTCTTTGTTTTTTGTCGTCCTCGCCATTTCAACCGCTATCAAAAGGGGCGTCTCATCAAGCGATGCAGGGTGACGACGTGGACTTGCCCCTGCTTCCAATAGTAGCTCTACCGCCTTGAAGTTATCGTCAACGATGGCAAAGCTTAGCGCAGTCCGACGGATAAACTTCTTTCGATCGCCTGAAATACCGTTGGAGAGAAGCTCTAGGTCGACATCAGGTCGTCTCAGAAGATGCGGTAGCCAATCGTTGCACAGCGGGCCTGTCAACAGATGAATCGCAGCGTATCCCATGCCATCTAGCTGATTGATATCTTCAACACTATCCAAGAGGACCATGAAGATGTCGAAGTTTTGTTCGGTGATGGCAGCTGTTAAGGGTAACTGAAGGTTCGGCCACGGGAAATGCAAGCTCAGATCGACACCGTAGTCGATCAAGAGTCTGGCAACCTCATTGTGATGTTGCATGATTGCTTCGCGGAGGGGATGCATGATTGGCGTGTGTATGCTTAACATGTCAGGCCTGGCTCCCGCTCGGAGGAGCAGCTCGACCATGGCAGCATCTCCTACACTGCAAGGGTTGACTAAGGGCGTTTCGCCCCATTTATCCGAGATATTTGGATCAGCCCCGGCATCAAGGAGTGATGTGACCAATCGTGCCATCAGGTCTTCATCGCGCGTTCTCAGATGCGTGCATAATATCATCAAAGCGGTTCCGCCCCTCAAGGAGCCTCGCTCGTTGACGTCTTTGGTCCGCTTCAGGAAGTATTCGACCATGTCGGGTTGTCCCTCTGATGAGCCTGCTGCATGCATCAGAGGAGTATGGCCGAAGAAGTTGTGTACCGAGAAACAAGAGTCGGGCCTCCAATGTTCAATGAGCCTGGCAATTACTGGGGTTTGTTTACGCTCGTACAAGTACCGCCATGTCTGCCTGAGAAGCTCACTCTTCCAAGAATACGCCTCTCCCCTCCCTGCCCACTGAATTTCGTGGGTCAGATGACCAATATTAGCATCAATGAATGTGAACACGGGAGAGACGAAGGTGTCATCTATCACCCTCCGATGATGTGTAAATTCAATGTTCCAGGAGTAATACGCTGACCAAGTTCTGTAGTTCGCAGAGCTGACGAAGTCGCCCAGCAGAGGGAGCAGTCTGGCCACTTTGTCGCCCGCACGACGGAGATGTTCTCTCCAGTTGTTTGCCGCATATGAATAGAACGGGTGACGCGCTGAGATGTTGGGAGGCATGATCGATTTGAAGCTTCCGAAGTCAGATCCGGAGAGGTACTTTATACACAGGAATGCCATGTTTGCGTGCTGCTCTTTCTCGATGAGGTAGTAACGTCTGACATGGTAAATCAGAGAAGGATGACTGATTCTGAAGTCCCCTTCATCCAAAGAATGAATGATTCTGGGGCACCGTTGTCTCAAGAAGTTGGGGAGGTCGAGGAATCTCAGGTTGGGGTCTCCGTGAAGACAGGCGATTGCATCGCATATTTCGGCTCTGGTGGGGATACTAAGATAGCCGAGTACGATTTGCACAGCTGACAGAGCATATTTCCCATCTTCGTCGATGGTCTGGAACAATGGTAGGAGATCTCTGTC